GGTAGGAAAAATGATTGAAAACAGATATAAATCCCAGTTTATTAGCGAAAAAATGCATTCTAATGTATTCAATATTGCTAAAGGAAAATCCCTCTTAAAGTATTGCTCATTTTTATCTATAAAATAGATTTATACATTTAAACATACAATGCAGAAGAAAATCAATATCCAAATACTATTTAACGATCCCCTATTTAGTTAACATCCATCCAAAGACCAAACTGCTCTCTTGAAGTGCTTTATATCTAACAATAAATTTGTGAATGCACGATCCACTTCAACTCTATCAACTCATCTGCTCTCTCACCACATTACAGACAGCCCTCTCATCCTGAGTACTATCCAGATGTCGATGGCAGATGCTAGCTGAGAGCTGGTTTGACTTCCACAATGAACTGCACGAAAACATAGATGCACTGCATTTGTGGCAGTGATCACTTCAGGCTTTTCAAATCCCTAAAAAAAAAGCCCAATCTGTTTCTTTTGCATTAAAGCACAGCTCAAGGAGAAAGAAGTAATTTTTTTTTCCCATAGATGGCAGTTCAGAATAAATCTCAGATGTTCTGGTTGTCGTCATCAGGGATATAAAACCACAATTAAAAGAGTATTCAAATATTTTCCCCTTGTTGCTTTCTCAGCAAAATGTGATTTGATTTTACACCTTCGCAGTCAGTTATAAATATTCCTTGGCATGTGTGTTTCAAAAGATTACACACTAAATTACTACTGCCCTTAATACGATGACAGATATGCTACGAGATTCCTCTGATGTGAAAAAACATGTGACTCTAGACAGGCTCAAGTCGGGCCTTGTGATGTATACAGAGTGCAATTCAAAGGCAATCAGTGAACATATACAGTAAATTTAGGTGGTGTTTTTGAATCTGCAGCTACTTAGGCATGAGATTGAAACCAATCTTGTTTTTCTCAAACCTTCAAGTTGCTACACCATTATATCATTTAGCTAACCTATTATTAATAATAACAATAATAATAATAATAATAATTATAATAATAACAATAATAATAATAATAATAATATATATATATAAAACCTCTGAAATGGCTAGGTTTGGAAATTAATATTAATTGGCAAAGTTAATCCAGTGTTGGAAAATCTTTTTTTCTACAACTGTCCATTGACCCAGAAGAAAAACAACCCCAGGCTAAATACATACTGTATAAATTCTCTCAATACATACCAAATGAGCTTAATTTAGATTATTTTTAGAAAGCAAGAAATATAACATGTTAAACTCACCAGAGATGACTGAGATGGCGTTTTCTTCTCGTGTCTAGTTATAGAGAAATTGTAGGTGTTTATACTCACAAATTCAGAACTTTTTTTTTTCCAAATTCAGAACTGTTAATTAGGCATGCAGCCAACAATCTGAGTCAAGCTAAATACTTGACAGAAACTGCTCACAGCATATCAAACATAACATTAATTTCCAAATATGTTTCCTCAAGATCCAAAACTCTTTGGCGCTTGCATTGAATCTGCAGAATTCCAGCAGAGAAAAGTTGCCAAGTACTGTACAGCACATCAACGGCTCAGACTTGGAAAGATGGAGAAAATGTTTAATCCCCATTCTTCCACTCTGATATCTTGTCAAATTTGTACAGTCCCTGGCATACTCTCTTGTTGACACATTTTTGATCGTGTTGCCCTTTTTTAGTTACGTTTGCGATTACTTAGCGTTGAATGACTTCAAATTTGAATGAAGTGAAGAACGAATACTACAGTAAAATGTACAGTACATTTGTACTTCAACTGTAAATTAGGTAGATATTATCAGGATGAATATGGCCAGAACAATCGGTACATGCTTTAAGAATCATATTGCCTATACTACACATTGTAATTTAAACATTAATTTGCTAAAGTAAAAAGAATATCACCTCAAAAATAAAATAATCCTACTGAACCAGAGGCAGCTTGTTAATTATATCATGATACCCTGCTGAAAAAAAAACACAGGAAAGAAAGTTTGATGTACATACAGTATGTAGATTATCACGATTCATTGTGTTTCTGTAACCCTCACTTTTATATGTCAACACCACATTATAAAGAAACTACATCCTATAAGACCTAGTTTTCTTCCTATAGATAAAACTTGTATCTTTGTCGAGGAAACAACAAAACAACACTTTTCCTGTATCCCAAAGCACAGTAGAAACATCACAAAACCGGCAGGTGTTGTTAAAATCCCAACCTTAACCCTACCTAGGGCCCTTCTAGAACATATATAAAAAACCTTGGCTTCGAAGACTACTGAAAAAGTTACGTCCTGACTCCAAATCAGTCAGAAACATTTAAAGTGGCAGTTTTAAAGGACTTTAAAGGTACAGCATCTGCTGTGAACCAATTTTCATTTTCTAGTACGTCTTATTTTGCAACCTGCTGCTGAAATGGCTTTTGAATTGAGCACGTCTGAGCCATTTACAGGTTACCACTACAGTGGCTATCAATGCAAACAATACATGTTTTTAACATGGAGAAACATGGAGTGTTTCTCCTAACTTTTTTTTTACCATTTTGGATTGACAGGCTTTGCAAAAACTGCAACACTGGGCCAAATTTCTTTTTCCAGGAACTTACAAAACAAAACTGCATTTCAAATGCTTCCCAAAACACAGCAAAAACATCACAGAATGTCTACATGTTGTTAAAATCCCAACCCTAACCCTAGCTCAGCTCAGGTCAAGATACTCCATGACTCCAAATTAGTTATAAACATTTGAAGTAGCAGTTTTAAAGTACTTCAAAAGGTAACTGCTGTGAATCTATTCAAAATTTCCAGTACATCTTATTTTGCAACCTGCTGCTGAAATGACGTATAAATTGAGCACATTTTGAGCTGTTTACAGGTTAGGATTACAATCACTACTACAGTTTGGCCAAAACCATTGTTTTGTTTGTTTTGCAATGAAAAAAATATAACTATTTAGCATGAAGAAAGGGCGTTTTCTAACTTGTGATTTCTGACCATTTTGGATTGACAGGCACATGGTTTAGCAAAAACTGCAACACTGGGCCAAATTTCATTTTCCAGGAAATAACAAATCAACATGTTGTTAACATAACCCTAGCTTGGAGCCTTCTAGAATATACAATATACTGTGATTTTACAATTATGTCGTTCATCTGTTTTGCTACTATTGACTGTTTAATTCTCTATTAAAAAAATAAAGCATGATACTACTGCCACCATTACATTATTCAGTTGCACATAGATTTTCGTAAACAATAAAGTCAAGGACGCAATATCAACTTATCAAGATCAAGGCTAAGGTGTTTTCTTTCTTGAGTAGGGCAACTAATTCCCTTCAAGACCCCACCACACTTGCCGCCGCATCAATAGTAAGACCACTGACATTTTTCAAATAATAACTGAAGACTCTTTACAGCTGACATACTGTAACCTTCGTGCCAAGCATTGATACAAAAGAAAGCAAATCCTCTTGAATCATACAATCAGGTGTAATCCCGCACATAAAAATAGCCTGCTGCCCAGTATTTGTTAGGTCTGCCATCTGATTCATAGCTAGGGAGTAGAACTCAAAATTGGTTGTAGAATCCTTCCTAGTCATTTCAATATACACTACCAGATCATTTTGTTCATTCGATCTGATGATGTCCAAGAAGAAATTGCAAGCTTATTACGCTTTCTAATAACTCTAATTTTTTATTTAGTCAGGGATGGTAGTAATAATGTACAGCCCTTACAAATTCTCTTTCTGAGTAAGGCCAAGATTTTCTTGTGATACAATAAGTTCTCTCTACAATTAATGGATGGCGTAACAATATCTCCTTTTATGATCTTCTGAAAAGCTCCCGCTGCATAAATTCATCATAGGTTCCTTATTTTGGTCTAAATGGAGATCTAACAATTCTTCGATTTATTTTTTTGCAGTTTCTTTCTATATTAGATGTTTCTTGTCAAAAATCATTTCTCCACAAATCAGGCAAATGGACAGGCATTTCATCCTCACAAAACATAATTTGTCAATTTTTCTTCAAAGAATATTGCACTTTGCTTGCAGTAAACAGTATACTTTATACTTTAAAAGCTTAGAATTGAAAAACCCTTTTCTTATTAAATAGCCATGCAAACTAGAACTTCAACAAGTATAAAATGACTTGAGACATATCAAATATGTTGTAAGATCTGGAGGAATGGAGGGATTGACACCATACACACCTTTTCAGAAAATCAGTCACTTACTGTACGTCCTTTCCAACATTACCCTACACTGCACCATCAACACACCTGAATGTAACAACGTATGCATTATTTTTATTTTAAAAAAACATTTGGAGTATGTTTTTTCCAAATGCTCCCGACAGGCCAGATGGCAATGGGCAGGACTTGGCCAGATGTCCACTGATTCTCCACTATAGAATGAACCCTAATACCAACAGCTAAAAACTTTAAAAGTATTAACATACCTGTGAATGAAGGTGATTTGTCACCATCACTCTAAATGATCTTGGCATATTCTAATTCAAATTCCTTTCTTCAAATTTTAAACAAGGTTAATAATCCTGTACAATGCCAGGATAAAAACACATCTTATTATAAAGAATACGTAAACTGAGAACGTGTTCCATTTGAAGGATATCCTACAAATCTTTAACATGCAACTCTATGAAATAAAGTGCAACAATTAGATTAGACAGATTCTATCAAAGAATATATCCTTTTCATGACTCTCAGGCAGGTAATTTACTGTAGATTTAGTTGGCTTTAAAACATTTTAAACTTAATATTTTTAATCTGAAATTTTCTCAATATACAATATAAATAATGGTATAATGATTTCCACTGTACTGTATATCCATCTTGTAAAGATTCTGTTCAAATTCTTAAACAGAAAGTTACTAAAAAAAACAATTTGTTTTGTTAAAAATGTTATTTTTCAATCACAGATCACAGATTTAAAGCACACAGCCATGTTTGTCTTCCACATTTAAACGTAATACTTCTTTTTATGTTGTCGGAATAAGATCAAGTCGTAACGTATGCATCGGTAACAAACTTCCAAAATTGCTACTTAGTGACAGTTTTCCTTGGAGCAGATACTAAGTGTGTCTGGGAAACAGAATCCTACCCATCGACAAGTATCATTACAACGCATTACAACCTATTACAGTGCTTTCGATGGAACCCTATTTGAATTACTTAAACCCCACACAAAGCTGATTTAAGTACCACATATCCAAAATTGTGACAGCAGGCCACACCAAAGAGAAGCATAGGAAAAGGATATGATCTTCCAGCAGATGTCCAGCTTGCTGTTGATCTCGTACCCCCTGGCCTGCTGTCTCTCTTCCTCCAGCTGCTTCAGGTTAGTAAACTGGGCTCTCTCATCACCAGGCTCAGGAAGACTCTCAAAATCAAACTTGTTCACCTGAATCGCCATCCTACAAAATCAGACAAAAATACAGTACAAGTGGTTAGTTTGAAGCAGGACAAGATTCAAGATCGTTTTAATGGCGCGGCTCCTTATAACGTCCTTGAAGTCAGTTTTGGAAGTTTGAGAATACTTTTTCACCAAGTTAACACACCGTTTTCCTTTTAATGAGTTCATGGCTTTATTTCTTTTTGCACAAAGGGAGTGTTGTTCAGATAATTTACTTTCTCACTTATAGTATGGGATTCAGTCACTGAAGAGAAAATAGGTTATCCTGACAGCAATACAAGACACGATCAAACATTTTCAATTGTTTCAACTATTTGTTTTTTAGTATCTTCTACAATTGTATTGTGCAATAAATTCACAGATGTGATTTTTGCAGGACACAGCTTACAGGTAGAGAACAATGTTTTGCGTTATTGTAAGATGTTAATGGAAGTTTACTGTGAGAAAACATCAAAAATCTACCTGTTATGAAACAAATCTAGCTAATTTTCTTTGTACTGTACTTTATGTGTGTCTGTCACTATTATCAAGAAGTGTCAGTTCTGAAGTGATACTCAATCTAGTTGCAATAAATGTCTCTGACTGTGAGATGTTACAGGTTAATGACCGCAGTTAGAGAGCAGTATGCTTCCCAGAAGGGTGGAGTGTGGAGCATTGAGATTTGATTTCGCTCTGCACACTGCTGTTTTCTGTGTGCCACACTGCTGTGTTAGAGCCAATTACAGCACAACTGCTCTCTGTACTACATTCCAGGAAAGGTATGATGATGCAAAGAAGATATAAATAGCAGCAAGGTGGCCATGTGTGACTGCAGAGGTGACTGGTTTAAATCCACCGATCCTTCAACTTTCAGGCCAGCATGCTGTCGTGGAGAAAAATAAAACACATTGCACTTTTAACAAAATGCTGTCATATATTTCCATTTAAGAACATACTATAAATCCAAGCTTGTTTATTAGGTTATTTTTCCTTGCATCCCATAATCCGAAACCCAAGCGAAATTAAACGACAGAATTGTTAAAGAACTTCTCCACTGCATGTATAGTATTACAGTCTGATGACACTACAATGTGAAATAGAGTAACTTAATAAGTAACAAAAAAGCATATTTAAGAAATAGAGTACTTATTAAAAATTTCCATTCACAATCCAAATGCGATTCTAAGAACCATTTAAATGATATGTGTGAGCGCTTCTCTTTCAAATTACTGCCACTTACGGGGGAAACTCACAAACACAAAAATGTCTGCTAAACTAAACTGCCACTTGTACAGTAGTAACAAAGCTAATATCCTTTCTGATGCCTTCCACTGAGATAAACAGTTTATTTGCAAAGCACTCTTTTGTAAAACAAGAAAAAAAGAAAAAGATGTAATCAAATAATGTTCACTGTAGACAAGACAGCAAGCAGATCTTTACACAACAGTTAAGTGGCAGCCTGGGAGCAAGAACAATAATCCCATCAATAGCAATTATATAACACAGGAGAGAAGTCACTAATCATATCAAATGAAAACAAATTGAAGTTAACTAAAAAAGCATTTGCCCGCAGCACGAAGAAGAGCATGTCAGGAGACAGCCCTCTCTTGAGTTAAAAAGTCAAGGGATTATAGACACTGCAGCAGGTTCTTATCGCACAGGATGTGCACAAGCTTTCATTTAATTAGAGGTAAAGTTCAGAGATTTCACCTGTGCTGTGTTTGTAATTAAACTAATTTCTCAGGCAGGATTTGAATGTACAAACACTGTAGTCACTCCTGGTTGCCTGTGACTTTTAATTTGTTTTAGAAGAGAGAGAGTTTCAATAAGTACGTTCCTTAACAAAGAGCAGATAGCAGTGGACTTTTCCCTGGGTTTTGAAAAGTCATCATCTTTGCTGCCTTGGGACATTCAATTTTTCAAACGCTCTGGTATAGCAGGAAAGTTCTACTGTAATATTCATTAGGTCTTGCAGCTAAGAGGAATTGAAATGGTTCTCCATCAAGATAAACATGCGATGACCTCACATTTCTTTTGAAACAAGCTGGTTGTGCAAAACTATCATGGGTATAAAACAGTTTCCTTCCATACATCACCTCCTAAGTGCAAACTAAATTGACTTCAACAGCCTCTATGATAAAGGCACTTGCTAATTCAGCAATCATGCAGACTTACTCATTAAAGAATAAGCTTTTTCCACATGCTGTGTTTAGTAATTATGCATGCCCATACTTTTTTCTTATGTTTCTTCTTCAACCTTGCTTGAGACCTCATCTTACTGAAAACATGAAAACAGATTAAACAACAAGCTATTGTTTAAATCACTGGCATGTGAATCCAACATCACGTGAGTGATGTTTCATTCAAATGTTCAGCTTGCTGTCTTCGATATACTGTACAACCTTGAGAACACCTGTAGATAATGTTACCTGTGTACTTCACTTTGGTTAACACTGTAGTGGCTACTACAATTCAGCCAGAATGTTAAGTATGAAAAATTTTCCAAGGAAAATATTTAAATACACATCTTCAACATCTCAATTACTCCCTTCCTTAACATGAATGAAGAAACAGTGCAAAAACAATGCTTCGTAGTAAATAAAAAAATGTCTCCTCTTCTTTTTTGGCATATGAGATACTGTAGCTTTATTTAAGTTCCACAGTTGTATCATTTTCATTGGCATGCAAAGAGCTCTCGGTGAGATACAGAACCTACTGTGCAGATACATCCCACACACCTGCCTTATTTGACCGTGTTGTATACAAAGCCTTGTAAGCTGGCATTAAAACCACCCGAAAACGCTATGCATGACTTCATCTGATCCTATAATGTTATTTTGCTGGTTGAACTACCTTGTTTCCAATTACACTTTCTAAGCATCTATAAAGAGAGCAGGAAAAAGCCAAGCTTCATTAAGATTAAAGATGTCCATCCCCTCTACACCTTGTGAAAAAAACTCAATGGGGGGGGGGGGTTGGTCGGAAAAAAAGGAAAGAACGGGAATTCAGCTGGGAAGCTTCTCAGCTAATTAAGATGCGGAGCCCCATTTCTTTGATGTAAAGTATCATTTTGTTTTGTAAATGAATTATAAAGCCGTGTGCTCGCAAATGCGGAGGGCTAATTCTCTCCAGCTTTGTCTGGTTTCTACCTTTGATGCAATATGCAAAAAATATAAAAGGCAGTGGCACACTGCATGTTAAGGATGTGGAAAACAAAACACTGAGGCCTGTGTTTTTTGTACACAGTCCTGTTCAAGGCACTCTAGATTACCCTTGAGGAAAGCTCAAAGCAAAAATTGTTAAATTATCATTTAACAGGCCCTAACAACAAAGAGGAGCAGAAATTAAACAATAATCAAGGCTCTGTACAAAGAGAATGAAAGGTTTCTGTTCCTATGCACTATGGTTTAAAACAGAAAAAGAGTAGACTGTAATATACCAGGCTCATGCTAAAGCACACAAGACTTCATCCTATTAACCTAGTCATAAAGGCCATTTAGAAAAGACCACGCATGCCATGTGTAGTGACTTAGCACACTATTAGAAGGCATAACTTAAAATAAAGCAGCAAAAGCACCACATTGGTCAGGAATGAACTCTTAATGTAAACCGCCATATTGGTGGTAGCTTACAAGTGCATTTCAAAACCTCAAACTTCATCTTCTACCGTTTCTAATATTACATATCCAATAAATCTAGCCTGATGAATGCTAAAAATCTATCAACCTACCTTTTCAATAGAAAAAGAGATAATCCAGGTTATCTTTAACATCTAGCAACAAAGAAACACAAACCTTATAGTTTAAATGCTGTAATAAGAACATATGATGTGAAATTGACATCCTTCAAAAACTGAAGGGTTATGGGCACTACTGGGCATATCGGTGAAAAAAAAAACAATCTATAAAGCTTAACATGCCAAATGCTAATGCGTTAAAAGTCTGCTTCATAGCCAAATAAACTGAAGCCCTGTCTCTGTGAAGCAATCCAAGATTAATAAATTAGAGGCTGGGCTGTTTAATACAGGTCCTGGGTTTTTCAAATATTTTATCTTATCTTGTTTTTGCTTTGTACTGAGCATGACATGCATGTTCCCCAGGCTGATTTCTCATTGCTGAAAACCTGTTAAAAACTGTAATTAAATTCTAAATAAGTTTAGAATATACTCCATTAATCATCTGCACTGACAGGATGCCTACCACATATTCTGACATCTTGACCACCCGTCCAATTTGGTTATATCCTATTGCCTTCTCTGTGATTTGAGCTCTTATTTTTTTTTTCTTTTTTATTGTTTTCATTCTACTTTGTTCATCAGTGATGAAAAAATACGGTATTAGTGACAGGCAAAATTGTACACTAGGAGCAGCTGCATTACAGCATGAATAAGAAATATTGCCTGGAGTGGGTCCCTTCTCCTAGAAGCTTTATCAAGTTGCCGCTTTTGCTGCTCTAAGATAGGCCTCTACCTCTCCCAGAAAATACGAAATCAGTCAAAGTTAATTTGGCGTATTAAAGTTGTCAGGTAGGTATCCTCATTAAGGAGGAAAGGGTTAAAAGGCCGTTTCAGATTCTGTGACTTGCAGGACCACAGCATCTTTGAGGGATTTAGCTGGAACAGGGAGCTAATCTGGTCTATTAACCATCTTTTAATCACTGGCTGCGTTCATTCACGCAGCAATCTAGGCCTGCAGCAGAGGTTTTACAGCCTTAATCCCCACACATGAAGTGGAAAATTCCCCTGAGGCACCACTGTCCTGAAGAACAGACAAAGCGGATAATCGCCACCTTGTCCTCGCTGACCTAGGAACACAGCGCCAGGAAGCAAGAGGGAAAATGGAAGCAGAACTGGCTCTCCTTCCTCCATCCCTCCTCATATTCTTGTCTAGACGGGGCCGTGCCGAATCTGCGGGACTTTCCCAAGCTGACACCAGCTCCTCCATTGATTCTGTTCCGTCACACACAACACTTTAAAGTCACCTGCTGGGCCCTTATTGAACTGTTTTCACCCAAAAGCTCAGA